CCCCCCCCCCCCCCCACATCACAGACTGGGTCCCTGGGAAGGACGGGCGGCAGGGCAGGGTCTGGCTGCCTCGGTGACTACATCTCTGTTCTCAGTCTGCACCTCTACTCTTTCTTGCCACGTCCCTGTCTCTTCTCCTAACTTCCACCTCTTGTCTCTGCTTCTTAGTCACCGTCTCTCGTCTCTCGCCCATTCTCGCATGTCTTTCTCATTCATCAAAGCCCTTTCTGCACCACTCCCCCCCTCCCCTTTGGTGAAGTCTTTCCTGTGCGTTTCTCTGCCCACCCCCATTCCCAGGTGGAAGTTTTCAGTCGAATCAGAGGCAGTAGGACAGATGCTGACTCCGCACACACAAGGAAGGAGGGACAGCCCGGCGTCAATGGTCCCCCCCAGGTGGACAGGCCTGGCCAAGGGAGCAGGCCGTCAGCAGGCTGGATCCCTATAGGAATGGGGGTGTTTCCCATGGGTTTCCTGATGTGCTGGGTAGTCTATCCTCCTCCCCCCGCTGGTCTCTGTCTTCTTCCCTCACAGGGTCTCTGTTACCCCCTTCCTGGATCTCTGACCCCCCAAGTTTCTGTCTCCCTCTCTGCTGTCCCCTCTGTGAGTTTCTGTCTCCCCCTGCCCAGGGGTCTCTGTCTCTAAAACTCTAAAATTGAACTTCTAGTTCACCTTCCTCGGTGCCCCATTTCTGCCCTCCTGTCTGTCTGGGTCTCCCCCGCCCCCCAACGTCTCTGAGGTTCGGTGCCCCTCTTGGGGCCTCGGCCCTGCTCTGTCAAAGTCTATGCCCCTCTGTGCCCGGACCTCTTTTTCTCTCTCCCCATCCACAGCCTGCAGGCCCTCCATTGGCTGGATTCAGCGAGGGAGGGTTCTGTCACTATGGCAACAGCCACAACAAGCCTCCGGCTTGGCTAAAAGGCGGGGGGGCGGGATCATGGCGGGTCGGACCCTCGCTCTGCGCTATGGCCCTCCCTGGCCCCCCATCTCTGGGACCGAGGATCCAGGATCCTGGCCCGACTGGCATCTCACCAGCAGTGGTGTCGCCCACCACATCATCCCATCCGTGCCCTTTCGCCCGCCCACTCTCCAGGTGAGAGCAGCCTGGGCGTCCAGACTCCTGCGTCTGAAGGGGGCGCGGGGATCCAGACACCTGCGGAAAGAAAAGGGGAACGGTAGCCTGGACTCCTCACTGAAGGAGGAGGGGCGCGGAGTCCTGGGTCTGACAGATGAAGGGGACCTGGATGCCTGGAACTGGAGGGAGGAAAGGGCTGGGGACCGCCCGGGAGCGATCAGGGCTGGAGGGCCGGACTCCCGAGGTTTTTTTTAAGCTGACGTCGCGCGCCTTCTACCCAGTCCACGGTGGCGGAACCCCTGGCCCCAGCCGCCAAGCGGGGTCTGCACATCTGGGCTTTCGACGAGGTCATCAGCAGATGGGAGACCACCTATGGCGCGGCTCACGGGGTGCTCAAGACCCACGGCGGGCCCTATGCGCAGCCCAAGGTCCCGAAGCCGAAGGACCTCGCGCGGTCTGTGGGGATGAAGGATTTTGGGGAAAAGGTAAGGTTCCAGGATGCCGAGGTCCGCGGGGGACAGGGCTGAGGACTGCAATTCCGTCCCGTCCACCCTCAGGTTGGGTCCCCGAATCGTCTTCCTGCAGCTCTCGCGCCGCGGCTGGTGCCTCCCGCTGACCACAAAGCACCAGAGCAGCGAGGAGCGGGCGCAGTACTCCGCGTGGCCCGACCTGCACCAGCGCGCCCGGCCCCTGCGGTTCGCCGACCACCACCTCACCAGCGCTTCCCAGGTAGCGGAGGAGACCGTGTGGGCGCGGGGGTGGGGGACGCAGCTGCGAGCGCCTGGGGCGGGGCCAGTAGGAATTTTTAGTCTGGGGGCGTGGCTAAAAGGTCTGGGGGCGTGACTAAAAGGTCTGGGGCGTGACTAAAAGGTCTGGGGGCGAGGCTAAAAGGTCTGGGCGTGGCTAAAAGGTCTGGGGGCGTGACTAAAAGGTCTGGGGCGAGGCTAAAAGGTCTGGGGCGTGGCTAAAAGGTCTGGGGGCGTGACTAAAAGGTCTGGGGCGAGGCTAAAAGGTCTGGGGCGTGGCTAAAAGGTCTGGGGGCGTGACTAAAAGGTCTGGGGCGAGGCTAAAAGGTCTGGGGCGTGGCTAAAAGGTCTGGGGGCGTGACTAAAAGGTCTGGGGCGAGGCTAAAAGGTCTGGGGCGTGGCTAAAAGGTCTGGGGGCGTGGCTAAAAGGTCTGCAGAGGACTGAGAAGAGTACAAAGACTGGGGAAGGGGCTTGGACATTTTGAGGTGGGGCCAGGAGGAGGAGAGGCCTGAAGAACCGCAATCCCAGCTCTCTGGGGCTAATAACCTCTGGGGCGCAACTAATAAATGTTGAAGTGGGTTAGGAGGGTTTTTAAAAAATGTTTTTTTGTTTTGTTTTGTTTTTTAAATTTTTTAAATTAATTTATTTCAGAGAGGAAGAGAGAGGGAGAGACAGATAGAAACATCAATGATGAGAGAGAATCATTGATTGGCTGCCTCCTGCACGCCCCCTACTTGGGATCAAGCCCGCAACCTGGGCATGTGCCCTTGGCCGGAATTGAACCTGGGACCCTTTAGTCTGCAGGCCGACGCTCTATCCATGAGCCAAACCAGCTAGGGCTAAAAAATATGTTTTTATTGATCTCAGAGGGGAAGGGAGAGAGAGAGAGAGTAGAAACATCAATGATGAGAATCATTGACTGGCTGCCTCCTGCACGCCCCCCAGTGGGGGAATCGAGCCTGCAACCAGGCCTGACCGGGGAATCGAACCATGACCTCCTGGTTCACAGGTGGATGCTCAACCATTGAGCCACGCCCTTCGGGTAGGAGGTGGCTTTGAGGCTTGGGGCAGAGCCCCCTTTACTAGGGGGCGGGTCTTGAATATTCTGGGACCTGGTGGGAGCCGGAGCGGGAGGCAGGAGGCGGGAGGCGGGAGGCGGGAGGGACTCTGCTGGAGGAACTCGGAAGCCAGAGGCTGGGGCCCAGGTGCGGCTTAATTCCAGGGGAGGGACAAGGAAGGTTTGAGTCTGGGGACTTGCCTTTCTGTTGGCTGGTGAGCAAAAAAGCGATTGAGTTTTGGAGTTTCTGGTTTGGGGAGCGAAGCGAACGTGCGCTGGCATGCGATTGGCCGGGAAGGACTCTGATTCTGGTCCAGAGGAGCTGTTGAGTCCGAAGGAAGAGGCGTTCTCAGTCAGGGACCCAAGGCTTCAAAAGGGAGATGAAACCGCTTTCTTGGTCATTCCTCCTGCCTCTTCCTCCTCAGACGCTCATTCCCTGGAGGATGAGCCCGGAGCTGGCCGGCCGGCCTTTCGTAGTGTCCAACCAGGGCATCCTGGACCGCTTTCAGCTCTACCTGCCCACCTCTGCCGGCGACTTCCGAGCCTTTTCAAAGTGAGCCCGAGTCCTCCACTGGCACCGCCCCCTGCACCTCCCCTCCCCCCGGCTGCTGGACCGCCCAGACCCCTGGTATGGGCTCCCTCAGGTCTCAGCCCCGACCCTGGCGCCCAGGTGCACGAAGCCTGCGGAGGGATCTAGGAGCCGGCCCTGACAATCTGGGGCGGGGTAATTTGACATTTGCGTCTCCAGATACTGCCCAAGGGTGAGAAAAGCCCAGATTCCAGGCGTTTAAGTACCTGGAGGACCCAGGAATCCAGGCTAGCAGTCCCCAACCCCATTTTTTTCTAAGTGGTCCCCGACTCCTACAAATAGGCCCTCTCCTCGAAACGCAGGAGCTCAGGCCTGCTGCCTCCTCGGACCCGAGGCGGGTCTGAACCCTCAGCCTCGTCCCCATCCTGCCTCCCCCAACAGGAAGGAGTTGTTACCCTGGGGCCACGGCCTCCAGCAGTCGCCCTGTCGACCCTCCTGTCGGGTGCCCCCGCCGCCGCCGA